CCCTGACATGCCAAAGGTGCAATGCATTTATTAACCAGCAAGTGGCACAAGGATGGGAGCTACACACACACAAGTGTATTTGGGTTTTTATAATTTAATAGGGAGGAGTTCTGCATGTTTCCCTAAAGTGTGCACATTTTGTGATGCAGAATATTGAAATGTGCATTTCTAAGCCTAAGACCTTTTACTTGTGCAACACTTTATAAAAAGCTTCTAAGTTGCAAAAATGCCATTCAGGCATTTGGGAAAATAATATACAAGTTGTTTTAAGGCCAAAGTGATTTCAGTGGGACAATGGCCTCAAGCTGTGCCAGGGGAGGTTCAAGCTGGACATCAGGAAGAATTTCTTCATTGAAAGGCTTCTCAAGTATTGGAAAGGACTGCCCAGGGAGGTTTGGAGTCCCTGGAGGTGTCTAAGGAATCTGGATGTGGCACTCCAAGCTCTGGGCTGGGTGATGAGGTGGGGTTTGCTGAAAGGTTGGGCTCTGTGATTTTGGAGATCTTTTTAATGTAATTGATTCTGTGATTCTGTTCTATGATTTAGCTTCAACATGGTACATCTGCACTAAAAACAGCTTTTTAAAATCATTCTGATATTGCATCCATAGCAGCACACACAACTCAGTTCTCCAAGGCTGCTGGGCTTTTTCCAGCAGCTGGCTTTGAATCCTGGAGTGATTTGCAGAGTCATTATTCATGGCTATTCACAGTTCAGAAGTTCAAGAGACACAAAAAAAGTCCAGGGTATGTAATCAAGGATTAATTGTTGCCAGTTTCCAGAGAAGAAAAAAAAAAAAAAAAGGATAAGAATACAAACCCAGTTGTTTGAAAGCAGAATGAAGGATCTTAGAGGGAAATTATTGTTCCTGTAGCTGCTGAAAATGTCCCTGTGTGTACAAGTGAGTCAGGAATATCGTTTCCCCCCATCTGAAAAGCTGGGAGAGCAGCATAGGCATTACCTAACAAATGCCAACCCAGTTCCTCAAAATCTTTGGAATTTTGCCATTCTGAGTTTCATTTGATGATGATGCTTAAGATTTTCAAGAGCTTTCAGGTCTCGATCCAGCTACAGTACTGAGCTAAGAAACTTAATCAGAATCAGCTGTGCAAAACAGTCCTTTTGTGTATTAAAAAAAATTAAAAAAACAACAGAAATATTCTCTTTCCTTCCTGGCCTTAATTGGGATCCTGCCTGTGGAACCATATATACTGCTAAGTATCTTAGAAAAATCAGTACCTGCACAGTAATTGAATTTGTAATTATTGTAATTGCACATATCAGTAAGTCCTCTTGTTTTTCCTGTGTGTCAGCCCCTGCTGAGAGCAAGGAGTCTAAATCTTAAAGACTAAACAGGGCCATGAACTGAGCTGTGCAGAAACATGAGGAAACAGAATTTGATGAATATTAAGAAATTAAAGGAAGTGTCCACAGTTTGTAGCTCACAGGGAGAGGTTGCAGGAGGAGGGACACACACACCCCTCGAGATAAAAGTGGCATAGAAGTCAATCACTGGTTTCTTAATCACAGAATAATTAAGGTTGGAAAAATCCTGAGACTGAGTCCCAGCTGTGCCCGATGCCCACCTTGTCCCCAGCCCAGAGCCCTGAGTGCCACCTCCAGGTGACACCTCCAGGGATGGGCACTGCAAAGCTCCCTGGGCAGCCCCTGCCAAGGCCTGAGCTCCCTTTCCATGGGCAAATTCCTGCTGCTGTCCACCCTGAGCCTCCCCTGGCCCAGCCTGAGGCCTGAGCTCTCCTCCTGTCCCTGTTCCCTGGCAGCAGAGCCTGACCCCCCCGGCTGTCCCCTCCTGCCAGGGACTTGTGCAGAGCCACAAGGGCCCCCTGAGCCTCCTTTGCTCCAGGCTCAGCCCCTTTCCCAGCTCCCTCAGCCCCTCCTGGGGCTCCAGACCCTTCCCAGCTCCGTTCCCTGCCCTGGACACGCTCCAGCCCCTCCAGGGCTCTCCTGCACCAGCCACAACTGGAGCCAGCCCAGCACAGAGGGACAATCACTGCCCAGCATGATCTGCATATTTCTTCACAACTCCTAAAAATCTAACTTGAAAAATTCTTGGAACTTAGCAAAAAATTATCTAAATTAATTTTTTTATTAACACAGTCACATTTAGTATATGCATCAGTTTGTATTTAGGATTCAGGATCAACTTAACAAAAAATGTGCAAGGAATAATTTTCAGGAGTAGGTCCAAGGGACTCAGCTCCTGCTTTGTGCCAGTGGTGACACCAAAGTCCAACACAGAAGGTAAATACCACAGATTTTCCCTGATTACTTCACAAGCCCTAGATCACACCTCAGTTGCATCAGGAAGACAAACCAAATTTCACCTGCAAAAGTCACATTGCTTTCAGATTTTAGGAGGGTATCTAAATGGTGAATTTTCATTTTGTGTTTTAAATATACCACAGATGTAATCTCACATACCTCACACACTCTGAACTTGCATGAATTTATATACAGATAAATAAATACCTAATATGTGTCCCAGCCATATTGTTGGGTTGTTTTTGCAGAATCCTCATTTCACACTGTGTGTGTAGCTTATTTTCCTTTGTTTTAGCTTTGAGGACATTGCTCTGGTTTTTACAAAGAGGGTTATTTAGGAACAGCCCTAAGTTGCAGAATAAAGGACTTTGTAAACTGATGCTCCACAAAAGCAAACCAGCTCACCAGATATTTACAATTAAACTTCTGATTCCTGTAATGGCTTCTTGAAGAGGGGATTTATCTCTCAGGGAAATTTGAAACCATCCAACTAAAAATGCTCAATATGGGACCTAATTTAGTTGTTATAATCATATAACCACAGAATAGTTTGGGTTGGAATGGACCTTAAAGATCACCCAATTCCAATATCTCCTGCTGTGGACAGGGACAGTTTCCACTATCCCAGGTTCCTCCAAGCCCCATCCAGCCTGGCCTTGGACACTTCCAGGGGTCCAGGGACAGCCACAGCTTCTCTGGTCAATCTGTGCCTGTGCCCCACTACCCTCACAGGGAAGAATTTTTTCTTGTATCTAATCTAACCCTGCTCTCTCTCAGTCTGAGAGACAACATTCCCCTGAGCGCTTTACAGGTGGGGGATTTTTTTGTTAGGTTGTTTATTCATTTCAGATTAAAGAAAAAAATTGCTCCCTGGCAGCAGTGGAGTTAAAATTATTTCCAGTTATATCACCAGGAGTTACTGGCACTACTCTCAGACACTCTTCTTATGCCAGACAAGGAAATGATAAATACTCCTTTGTCTAGAACACAAACTACTCAGCTCTCCACAGATTAACCCTCTAACCACAAAATATTATCTATAATCAGCCCTCTTCCCTTCTGGAGGCACTCGTGGGTGTCACCATGCCAGATGCTGGGGCTCCAGTACTCAGCAGAAGTAAATTCTGGAGTACCCACATCTGATTTAATCTCTGCTGAGCAGGACTCACACGCTGGATATGAAAAGAGTTTGAGATTCTTGCTTGAGTAGAATCTTGTAATAAAGGAGCTGCTCATTTCCTGAAGATTGCTGATTTGGTAGAACATGGTAATTTTAGAGATGTATTACAATCTGGCTAAACAAGTTAACACATGGGATTTGCAGAGAGGAAGTGTTTTCAAATAAGTCACTACCATATATGCTTGGAACCATTACTTGAAGTTTGATGTCCATGCCATTTTAATTAATTCAAAACAACAACAACAACCCCCCCCCCACCCAAAGTCACAAACATTATGGACTATTTGCCTGCTAATTCTTTCTTTCATCGAAGCTGCTCCTGCAATACAAAAGTGTAATAAAAATCCCCACACTGGTAAGAACGAGTAAACATTTTTCTTCATTTGCATAAACAAGAAACCCCAAACAAATACAAGGGCCAAGGGGACTTTCCCTGGCCAAGAACTGGTTAAATAGTTTGAAACTATGCTCAAGATTTCCTGAAAACATATTTGTCTTTCAGCCAAACAATACTGTTAAAGCAATGTAAATGCTTTGCTTCCAAAATGTGCTTTTTCTGTTCACAGAGAGCAGCAGTGTAAAAATAAATCATCCATGAAGCATATTCTCATTTTTAATTTCATCCCTTGATAGATCAGTTGCTTCAAAATCCCTTAACAGCCAAGGAAAGAAAAGTCACAGGGTTCACATTTTAAAGATTGTCAATTGTACAGACCCAGTGCTGCTAATCCACGGGCGGGTTACGGCCGCTTCCGTCACGACCTGAAACACTGGATTTTATTAACAACCAACTATGAATCTTTATGGGCGTCTACAAGGTTGGAAAAGCATTTCCCTGCCTTCTCACACCTTGCTTTTCTCTGGCAAAACCAACTGTGAGCACTCAGCAGGTCCTAAAGAACTGTGACACAGAAGAAGAACGGATTTTGTATGTCCAGGTGACAGGAATGAACAAATGACCTGATTTGGGCAATCACCAAAAGCACATCAGTGCCATGGACCATCAGGTTACTGTAGGACTTGAAAATTAAACAACCCAGAAGGTCTTTGCAGGAGTTTAGCATGCCAAGGGCAGGGGAGGGGGGAAAGGGATCCAGGCTGAGTTTGAGTTTGGCAGAATGAACCTGCTTTTGTCGCAGAGGGAAGAGCAAAGTGCGTCCAGCTGATGGTTGGATGGCCTGCACACCACACTAAATGTGCGTGGTCATGGATATGCTGTTTGCAGGAGGTGCTGAGAGTTTGAATTTATTATTAGGAAACCAAAACATTTCACTTAATTGTTTAACATGCGAGATTTTCATGAGGGAACGAAGGTTAGTTACATTTCCAACAGGATTTCAAAACTACATTTTGCCTATTCAACTCTAAGCCAAATGTAAGGCTGAAAGGTTGAAGAGACCTTCAAAGGAACAGAAGTCAGAAAGACAATAACAATACAGTACCTAAAAATGGGTAATTCACACATTTTTGACATTTGTGTCTTGCATAGACAAATACTTATTCATTCTTTTTCTCCCAAGACGACTCAACTTCAGAAAATAAAATGTTAAATCAACTTTAATTACAATTAAATGCATGTGTTCCAATTTTTTAAAACACATGGGTGTTCTGGATTTTTGTTTAAGTGCAACTATCATCCCTTGGAAAGGCTTTGTTTTATCCTGTGGGCTGCAAAGTTCCTGAAGTCAGGAAGGTGGATTTCTGGTTCTTCCAGAAACAAATCCACGTTGTATTTCACAGAACACTCTGAGGTGGAAGGGACCCACAGCGAGTTCAGCTCCCCAGTGAATGGCTCACACAGGGCTCTGGGTGTCACTGACCAGGAGCTGGGGCTTGAGCCACGTGTGCTATTCCCCTCCAACATCCATAAACCTAAAGCTACTTTGGAAGCACAAACTTTGGAACTGGGAACTGCAATTCCTCACTGCACCTCTGGCTCCTGGCCACGTTTTGAACATCAACAAAAAAATATTTGTTGTTGCATCCCAGGTCACCATGAAATCCTGCCCTGCCAAGCCCTTCATCCATACCCAGGTTTCCACTGGAAGAAGACCCAGGAATGCAGGCAAGGTAGAGCTGGAGGGCTCTCCAGAAGATTCCTGTCAGAAATCAGGTACCAGAAGGTAAATGCAGCCTGACATGGATCCGTATGGAGCTCCCCTGAGGTTGGCAGGACTCCACTGTGACACAATATCCAGATGTGGAAAACCTCCTGCAGAGCCAGAGTTGATCTGAGTATTTTCCAACGTGATTATTTATTTGTAACAGTCATTCAGAAACTTATTCTGATCACTTTGGAATTGATTTACTGAACTGCAGTGCTTCCAAAGTTAAAAAAATAACCAACAGAAAACTGCCTTGCCTGTTCCAGGAATATTGAAAAAATTGGACTGAGAACCCTGTTTTGGGTTAGATTGAAGAAAAAAATTAAAAGTTTTAATAACTGTATTTGCAGAAGAATCACATTGATTCAAAAACCAAATTAGTTCTATTGCATATGAATATGACTTTAATTGGGGGCAGGGGGGGAATTCTACATGGACTTGAAGTTAGGTCCCCTATAAAGACTTTTTAAACGAATGTAAACATGTACCTTTCCTGAATGGTGATGCTTTGCTGAAACCAGCAATCTTCCTTACACAGGAAAAAAAAAAGTAAAGGACCTTACTTGTTTCTTGTTTTCTCTTCTTTTAAATCACGAAAAGAACAAGCACTTCCCTGCAGTTCACACCCACTACAGAATTCTCACTGAACTGAAAGAAAAGGTTTGAGTTTCATATGTTAAGCAATGCTTTTACACTGGTGAAGCCCTTTCAGTTTTAGGAATTCACATCCCTATATTTTTTTTATGTTTCTAATCTGACAGTGAAACAATTCCATATTCCCCTTTCACAGTAAACTCTGTCAAATTCAGTCTCCAGGAGCTGATAAAGTAGCTGAAGACAAGGTCATGTTTTTGAAGAAGAGAATTTCTGCTGCATGTAAGGTGGGGGGATTAAAAAAAAAAAAAAAAGCAGCTAACTAGAAAATGGCTTCTTTCTGAAAAATAAACTTTCAGAAGTTTGCAAACCCTGAGGTCTTGTTTCCAATAAAAACCCCAAACAAACCAACAAATATAACCTGCTATTGAATGGAGACGGTGGGGGTGATGAAGCACTCTTGAAGTCAAAAACAATTAAAACCAAAAATACAGAATCTGAGTTCCAGTAATCTAAGCTATCTTTTGTAGGGGCAGTAGGCTGAATGCTTCCAAAGGAGCAGGACTTGTACATGGTTTGTCTTTTAAAGTGTTTTGGGGTCAAACTGGATTTGACAACAGCCTTTGAGATAGCCATGCTATGTCAAAGCCTCCCTAATTACATCTTTCATTACTCATTTACTGTGCTGTTTAACAAACATGGCACATTAGTGACAAAGCAGAGAAGTCAGAAGAAAGCAAATTCTTTAGAAATCACCAGTCCAGTGGAGCAGATCATTACAGCACTTGAAGAAAGGAAGATCCTCAGCCAGGACTCGGTGAGAGCCGGAGCAGAAACACCTCTTGTGTCGAGTAAAAAACATCTAAAAAAAATAACTCCCAGTCACTGAAAATTTCTCTTATTCTCCATGTATGTATGGCAATGCCACTGAGATTTCTTCCTGAAGCTTTTCTTCCTACCAACTCAACCTTGCCTTGGAAGACAATCTGCCATGACCAGCTTCCAATCACTTAAGCAAGCCCAGCAGTACATTCCTTCATCCTCCTGAAATCCAGGGGTCCTAAGCATGTGCCTGAGTGTTCTGAGAAGCAGAAATTAAGTATTCCATTAAATATTTGCATCTGCCAAAGGGCTTTGTTCAAATACAGTGTCTGAAGGTTCTAAAGGCTACCACCTTTCTCCCTGTCACGTTAGAAACACACCCAGATTTGGTCTAAATCACAAGGAAGTTCTGGCTTTGATCTAAGCCAACACTGTGACAAATGGACAGGGACAAAAGAGGGTGTTGATCATATCATGAGGCTCTTGAGTCTCTTATTTGTACTCAACAACAGGAAATACAAAGTTCCAAAAGCAAGTGTTCATGGATAGACAATCACAGACTTCAAACTTTGGGAAAATAAAAGAAATTAACTGTTACAACAACAAAAAAAAATAAAAATAAAAAATTTCAAAACAAAACCAAACCAAAACCCAGCTGTTTGCATACCAGCTCTTCATTTTTCAAATGACACACAAGGATTTCCTACTCTAACAAAGCCTGCTGTATATTCTGGTAGTGAACTTCAGATCTGAAGACATTTTATATAAATCCATGTTATATTTTTCTTTTTGTATTAGGGGAAAATATTTCAAATGCAATAAAATAGCAGAATTCATGACTGTATAGTAGGCAACTTTTCATTTTTTTAGATTCAGTTGTACAAACTATAAACTGTTAAATTTCTCTAATAATTGGAAAAGTTGTGGGTATTTGAACTTACTTACCTGAATACTCATTTAGCAAATATTTTCAGATACAATTCTAGATACAGAGTTATGCAATTTGAATATCAGTTTACACATAATATAAATCAATGTTTGACAATATCAAAATCCCATCAAACAGTGGGCCCTTCTTATGCTATTATCAAATATAGTATATCACTGTGGGATAGCTGAGAATCATAGAATGCTACTGTAGGCTTGTTTATTAAATTGGGTCAATTTTCAGACCTTCCAAATAGGAATACTAAACATTTATTTTTCCCCTCTGGAAATTCTTTTTTTTTTTTTTTCTTTTTTTCTTTTTTTCCTCCTGCTTAATACAGTTGTCATCCCAATTTCTAGTGAATTTATAAAAATATTTTTTTTTATCCAATAACCCCAGAAAGGTAAAAATAGGAGTTTTTATAGCAAATGATAAACAGGCTCACGGACTATGAGAGAAACTAAACTTATTTAAATTGCCATACATTCTCTACTGAATCACACATCAACAGTTTCTTTTTATGTGTGTTGCTGTCCACCTCAGACTAGCAGTTTTTAAGGTGCAGAAGCATCTTTCAAATATATGCATCTAACTCAATAATCAAGTTTCACACACTAGTGTCACATGCTTTAAATTTACATCACCTGCCCATCAAAAGCTGTGTTAAATAACAGCACTAATTGAAACTGCATAATTCATCAGAAACTGCAGCACTTCCAATTCAGAGAACAAAGGGGTGCTTATGTGGTTCTTTATATTACTAGATATAATTTTCTGAAATAAGGAAAAGAAACAGAAAAAAAGAAAACACATTTGAAAGAAGTTGCTGCACCTGCAAAAACACTCTTTAAGCTTACTATGAAATACAAAAAAGTGCACCCTTCTATATCTACATATAAAACATATTAGAAATAAAACTTGTGTAAAATGTTTGCTGTGCAAACTATAAAAAGTCAGTCAGTCAGTCCATTCTTTTTCCTAAGTGTTTTTCTCCACGCTCTCTTGCTTCCTACTGCAGAGAATCGCTGTTATCCAAGACCAGCCCACTGATATTTGCTGTTGAGAGGTCTCCTGCATCGTCTTCACCGCTGTCCACAGACTCATCCTCGCTCTGCCCTGCCATCATCACCTGCTGCACAGCCAGGGTAGCACCATCGGAGGACAAGGACTGCAGACTGTCTACATTCATGTTGACTGGAGCTGTGATGGTCACGACAGCACCTGCAGAAGCACAATCACAGCACCTCAGCACCTGTCTTGCCTTCTACTTACACATAATAGACCTTGTTTCTAATCAACAGTTAGGAAACTTAAGGAACTACATTAAAATAGAAGATATGTAGGTTGCCAAATACTTAAATATGAGGAAATGTCAGAATTAGGTTGGTCAGGAATATTAAACTTTGTGATATGGACACCTGCTACAGCAATTCTCCAATCAAGTTATCACATTTCTGTAAAGTATTCCAGCTTAATTCATTGCAGAAAAAGGGGAGTTGTTCAGATTCAAGGTAACTTCAATGGATAAAGCTGTTGCCAGATCCAGCAGAGGCTGAGGGAAAAACTTGTTACAAACTGGAAAGAATAAAGCACCAGGCAGCAGGACAGAAAGGGTGATCCTGGCATTAAAGCAGTTATTTATCTTTCTTAAATTAAATCTTTTTGTTTGATCTGACACTGAGGAAGTTACTTCAGTCACAGTCTGTGGAGGCTCTATGACATCTTTCTGCCTCTCACTGTTCAGCTTGAAGCATGTGAGGCAGATTTGGAATTGCAGCCACTGAAGCTGAAGCTGCAGCCCAGTGCTGCTCATCCAACAGGACACTCCTGACGTGCACACAGAGAGAACTCAGCTGTACATCTCAGTTTTACATCTTTTATTCTGTCATTTCATAACTTCTGAAACAAAAGCAAGTTTCTCAACATGGATTCCAATATAATACCCTTGCTTAAACCACAGAAAACTGTTACAGAGAAGAAAAGTGGCACATTTCTGTTATGCTTTCCCAGATTAAAACCACATTTATACTGAAATACCCAGAAATTTCCCTCCCACCATTCCCCTGTCAGAGAGGGATTAACTTTATTATCCATGTTGAGGCAGCTCTCCTCACCATCTGACATCGTGAGCTCGTTCGATTGCTGCTGAGCAACTCCTGAGGCAATGGAGTCAGGCCAGAACCTCTGGACCGGTCGGTTCTGGGCTGTTTTCTTCTTTGTTTTTGGAGTTTCAGAACAACTGGAATCCAGCATTGGCTGAAGAATTCGTCTTCTAGCATTGATAAACCTAAATACAATCGAGGGCAAGGGGAACTTAGGACCAGTTGGCTGTAAATTCAATCTCTGTCTCTCTCACATTCACAAAGCATGCAGCAGGAAAAAAAAATAGGAATATAAAATCTTCTATCAGCTGGGCTTCACATTCTTTTTAAAGTGTAGAACCACCCCTAGAACACCAGTATTCCTTTTGGCAAACTAGCAAAGAAAGCACTTCTATCATTTTGCAGCAAACAGCATTTTTCCCCCACCTCAGAAGGAAAAATTCTCCAGACAGCACAACAGATGTACACTTCAGGATCTTATTAAAAACTAAGCACCAGAAAACCTGCTGACAGCCCAGCTCAGAAAGCTGATACTCCTCTCATTAGGGTTCGCCTAAAATCTAGCTCCTGCCTAACCTGCTTTGTTTGGTCTGGTTTCATTTACTCCCTTAAGCTTCTGCATTACTTATTTTACAGCTGGCTTTCCAAAGGCTGGCTCCTGATGCAGGAGATGACAGCAAACACATTTGTCAGATCTCTCCTGATTCCTTTTGTTCTCTGATTTTCACTTGCTTACTTTAGCATGCTAATTGCCACCCTTCCCCTTTCTGCTAGTGAACAAAAAAATACTTAAACTGAACCAACAGTACTTCAACATAATGATCTATGGCAGGGAGTTGTGACTGAAGACATCATCCCTAAATATCACAAAATACATCCAGGTCCCAAGTTTACCTGCAATGGGAGGAAATCAGGTGCAGCTGGCAGGTTCCTAAGTTGTAATATAATGCTCTGCAAAGACAGCAGTCAGATCCCAGTGCACAGAGCTCCATGGCCACATGTCACACAGTCACAGTCACCCTGTTCCACTTTTGGAACCAGTGTTCTGTCACTATCCTGACTATTTCCCCCCTGGACCCCTCCACAGCCTCACAGCCAGTGTCATCTTTGAAATCTGAGGCAGATCCCTGTGGGACTTCGCTGCAGCAGTTTTAGGAACCGATGCCACAAGGCGAATAGGACACTGTCAGCACCTTCCCTCCTCTCTTCTGCAGGGAAGGTGTCTTCTCTTACACCTCCAGGAAAGATAAGACATGACAAAACATGCTGAACCATGGGCTGGTGTAACGGAGGAACTGCCACTCCTTTCAGACATCACTGCTCAGGAGAGCATCCTTTGATACAAGAACAGAATCTCTTAACAGTAACTGCTCCAACATCTGCAGCCACCAGGCCACTAAATGCCTTTAGACTTCAATTTCTTTGCTTGCAGAAGAGACATGAGAGTACTTCCATCTCTCTCAGCACTGGAACACAGTTCCTTAATGCTGCAATGTTTTCTGGAGTCCTTTTATAATTTAAATGACATGAGTATTATTATACCTTTTAAAAATAACGTGCTTGTGTGCCAGTGCACAACTCTTGTATTTCTATACATGTTTTGTAACATATGTAGAAAATTTAAGTTCAACTCCAGATGTCCAAGTTATCCTCCTCATTATTTCTGAGCTGTAAGCATGTGGAGACGAGGACAGATATTAAAGGCTTTGCTCTTACCAGTTGTTAACCTGGAGTAGTGTCAGATTTGTTTGTGCTGCAATCTGCTTCTTCTCATCCTCTGTTGGATATGGATGCTACAGAGGCCAGAAAAGCAAACAAAAAAGGCATAAGCTTGCTTTTCATCTCCTCATCAAAAATAAGAACTCCTTTATTACATCTGATTAAAGAGGGTGGATTAAGGCCATCTGACTCATTAAAACACAAACCTTAGAAACCTCACAAACTTTTATAGATGAAAATAATTCAACAAAGAGTGCTTTACTACACAAAAACTGATTTTATCCTCGAGAGTGTCCGTGGCACCATGAAACTGCTGCTGTGTAATTCAGAAGAAAAAGCTTCTCATGGCTGACAGTCTTTATTAAAGAGCGTGATCCCTGGGCAGCACAGCATGTGAGCAGCTCTGATTAGTTCTGCTGGCCAGGGCACTGTCATATGAGAGAGCTGAGGAGCACTCTGGAGTTAAATAAAGCTGCTCTAAGCAGATGAGGACGGGGCACATAACACAAGAAGTGCACACGCAGCTTCCCTGGATCAGTTCTCTGCTGCAAAAAAAGTTGTAAATGGCAAAATATCAATCAACTCAACATTGTAATAGCTTGAGAGCCATTTATCCTTTCAAAGTGGTCATGCAAAGGGAAGACAGTTGAAAGCACAAGCAGATAGTGACATGCTTGGTACACATCAGAAGGACTGGAAAGGAGATCGAGACAGAAAATTTGAAATTTTCCTCGGTCAAAAATACCCCTAAAACACCTCAAAATACAGGTGGAATGATTTCCCCTTGGGCCCTGAACCAGAGTGTAGAGAGCATTAAGTTCTCAACACAGTGACATGAAGAAAAGCTGCTTGTAACAACACTTATTGAGACTGTGCAGTACAAATGTAATATATTTATTAAAATATTAATAAAAGTCAACCAGCATTAGACTGTGGAACTACTCCAAACACCTCCAGGGAAAACTGAACAGAGATTCCACAACTGACAACAGAATAAATTCACCTTGTTTATGAAGAAAAATTGCAAGACACCACATGAGAGAGCTACATAAAAAACTGACCGTGCTCAGTCCTTACCCCTATGTGCTGGAAAAGCCAAGATCTCATCACATTTGTAGCGTGCTTGGGAAGAACTCCTCTCTTATTTTTTGATGAGCCATCATCTTGATGCAAGATGCCTAGATCTTGGTTTAATTGCAACTGGAGCTGCACATGTAATTTTAGGAGAAATAAGGCAGTTAACATAGTAGTGGCAGTTCTGTATCAATGAATGAGCAGCTCATTTATAGCAGGAATGAAAAGAAATTAGGCTTGAATATCCTGAATATACTCACTGTGTGCAAACATAAACAACTATGGAAGCTTTAAAATATTACTGATTTAAGACTTAAATGAAGGACAAAGTAAAATGCTGCAGTAATGCTGCAATTGCACACAAAGATGCTAAAGGTCCTGCTAAATAAATGCATTAAATTCTCAAAGAGCATTAAGATCTATACAGTAGAACCTATAATTCACTTTACAACATTCATTCCACTTCCTAAATATTCACATATCTTTCTCTTTGTTTTTTGCTTCCTATGATTCATCAAATCATTTGCACATTGATTATCTGAACGCTTGGGAGTACATTCTTAAATGCTTATGCAGAAATAGAAAGAAACAGCACATAAATTGCATATAAGATTCTATTTCAGACAATTGGAACAAAAATAATTCTAAATCAGGTTTTCCAGACAAATTGGAGCAATTTTGTAGGCCAATGAATATGTAGGAAACGAGTTTTAAACAAGGTTTAGGCTATCAAATTACTACAAATATATATTTGGAGCACATTTTAATTTCCAAAGTAATGTCTTACATTCTAAATAACCTGCCTGCATATGGAGGCTTTATAATGAACTTTCAATAGCTTTTCTACAGTGTTTTTCCCTACCTCCACAGCATTCTGAAACACTGAAAAAGAAGACATTGAAGGATTTTCAATTAGTGACCTTTGCATAGATGGGTTTGGAGACTCCCACTAACATTAAGAGTAGTCACAGATGTATACAGAAGGTGAAGTCCTTTTTTATTTACAGGCTAGAGGCATTATTTTTCTCTCAGTATTTTATTTTTTTCATAAAAGGTAAAAAACCCCTAATTTTTCAAAATCCCTTCAGTCCAGGAGAGTAATTTTACACATTTCTTTCTGAGAGGTGTGTGAGGACAGAGCTGTCTGTGTTCTAGGGGAGAACATGGCTGAGCACAGATATGCTCCTGCCAATTCAAAGAACACTCTGTGCACACTTTTTTGGTTGGAAAGCCAGAATTAGGGGGAAAAGAAGCCAGTGAGTCAGTGATTACCAACAGATTTTATGCTGTGGAGCTCCTCATTCACATTTCTAATTAAATCCAGATTCCAGGAAGATTTGGTTTATCACTTCCAGAGAAAATGAGCAAGGTTTTCTGTGCCAGAAGATGGTCTAGTTTTCATGTTTCTTTTTCTTTAGCTGTTTCTTTGAACTCTTCAGATCCAGCTCTTAAGAGCCTCTCACAAAAGAGTGCTGGCCCTTATATTTTAGGGTATAAGGAGACAAAATTGAGGATCTTCCAGAGTCTCAACTAAATATTTTGAAGGTTTAATAGAAAAATGCTTCTCCAAATAGATAGACTCTGAAATACACACAGTTTCACAGTACTAGTGGTTACCATTGTGATAAAAAGTCAAATTTCTCACAACAGCAGTGTGGCATCTTAACGCAATACATTAAATCTATACAGCCATAAACACAGTTCAATGATTAGAAAAGTTATAATAATTGAAAAAGTATTAATTTAATTTAGAAAGGTTTTTGGTTTGCATTGGTTTTGGGGTTTGGTTTGGGGGTTTTTTTTGTCCATTTGGTTTAGGAGTGTTTTTTTTTTAATTTTAGTTAGATTTTTGATTGTTTTTTAATTTCATGTACCCATACTCTTCTGGCATCAGTAAAGGAAGACAATTAAAAGGTAGGAACTCTGATGTGCTGTTGTAGCAAGGGGGACCTTATGACACATTATATAACCTGTAACACACAGCAGTGGCTGCACCAATTTACAATTAATTACTCTGTGTGTACACAGAGCTCGTTCTGCCAGTGTGTCAAATTTAAATCAAAACTCCTAAAACCACTGAGATGTATTTCCACCCACAGCACCATTCTGTGGAGCTCATGAAACAAACCTGAGAGTTCTGGATCCGAATAGTCCCAGGTGACAGTGCCTGTGTCACCACTTGTCCTTGTGGAGTGACCACAGTGACTGGCTGATACACTGTCCCCCCTTGAAACAAAACAAACACAGATTATGGGGAAGAAAAAGTCCTCCAAGTATTATTATCTTTAAACACATCAGCACTACAAACCAGACAAGACTTTTGATAATATACCAATTATTTTTTTAGTCAGCATGCCAAGATGTGCTCTTTGCTACACCAAAATTTTCATCCATTCACAAAAAACTGTACAATGTTTGATTATATTATATTGTATTTTGGGCATTCTAAATCTATTTCCAAAGGAAAATGCCATTATTATCAGGCTACAAAACAGTTCTTCATGTTGTTTTAACTGAGCTAAGTCTTCAACCAACAAGGGTCACAACACCGAAATCAAACCTACATGATCACACCGTAGGGCAGCTGGGTTTGATTAAAAACCTTGCTGAGAAGCAACACTCAACATTTCATCTCAAATGTAATCTCCAATACAACAAGGACATCAAGGATTTCACAGACTTGTAGTTGTGGTTCCAAACTCCAAGGAGCATGAGGCAGCCAACAAGTGCAATGGTTTAGCTAATGCATGTTTTTTGTCAAATAGAATTTTTATTTTTAAAGGGAAAAAAAAAAAAGAAAGCAAAACACCATAGTCTGTGGAAATGCCTTTTAACAAATGTAGTGTTGCACATTAAGATCTCTTAATATTATATATGTAATGTAATATGTGATCTCTTAGTGTTATATATGGAACTGCCAGTCCCACAAACATATTTGGAAAACATATAAATTAAATGATTCATAAACCAGTAAAGCATTTGACTGTACAAAAGTTGTTGTGCTACAACAACTTTTCAGGTATTAAAACACATTTTTTAAAGTGTTTGTGTAGTTTTTGAAAGAACCATGAAGGAAACCAAGATGAAGAGCAAGGTGCCAGTTGTTTTTAGTGTGTCATACCTGCTACTGTTGCCATAGTTACATTTCCCTGCTGCAATGCTGATGCTGGCACCATGATCCCTTGGGGACTGAGTGTGCCTGCAATGGCACTTGGAATTTGCTAGAAAAATAAAACAATTAGTTGCTTACATTTTTGAACTTTTTTTTTTTAATGTAAGGAGATCAAGCATGCTTGTGTATTTTTGTAATTTGCATTATGTATATTTTGCTATAAAGTACGTTTGGAGTTTAACCACAGGATTCCCTTCAAAGAGAAAGATCCTTCATTAGGGGTTCATCATTACCTACATTAACTTCCTCATTATCACCAACCATTACCTTTGAAAACCCTCATGAAAGCAACTGCTAGAAAAGATTAAAACAATTTTGAGACATTTTTGTTCTAGGTATATAAAGAACAAGAAAAGGTTTCCAAAGGCAAGACGGGATAAAGGACAAATGAAATCACCCTTGATGCTCTTATTACAAGCCTCAAAGCTTTAGAATTTTACTTATTACCTTAATTCCTTCAATTTGAACATAATGTATTAAATATTCAGTATGTTTTATTCTGCTCAAGATAGCTCTTACTCAACCCTGAACATGCAAACTCTTACACATTTCCTTACTATGTATGAATAATCTCTTTTGATAGCAAATGCAAAATGGGTCCCTCGTACCTCTACAGAAAACTGCTGAGAGATACACGGAAAAAACCTTTCAAAAAGTGTTTTTGCCTGATTTTAGAATCTCCTTTCCACACCTCCAGACATCAAAACCTACATAAGGAGTCCAGAAAATGAAGTTCAAAAGTCATTTGGGCTTTTTTTAATACAGAGCATCAGACACATGAGTAATTCAGAGAAGGGCCATGCCCCAAGACTCCATTCCAAGTGGGTACTGGGGTGGCAGGGCTCACTCTGCAGCATCTGACAGCAAAAACATCAACCATAACCTATCAGCTGTGGTCCATTTAATATAGAAAATGCAATATTGCAACTTTAATCCATCAGATATTGTCTACTTATTCCAGAATACAGGTTGTGTATAAAACATATCCATCATCTCAATAATTTCACAAAGGAGGCAGACTAAGGAGGCCTTGACAAGCAAAATTCTTCCTCTTTGTTTATTCTGTTTCCTAAACTCCTTCCAACCAAATAGCAAATCCAGGCTATTCTGAATATCTCCATTTGCTGAACTGAGAGAAAATCATAAAAGGAAAACAGACAAAAAAAAGAGCTCTTTCTACTCTTAACAACTGATTTGAAAATACAGGAAACTGCAGAAATTCTGTTTGCAAACTGATAGCAAAAGTAGTGTAGCTGTAACTTCCTAAGGAAATCCAAGCAAAAATCCACTCAACAGTATTTGAAACACACCTGAGATTGCACAGGTGAATAAGGACTTCCAGGCTCTCCACTTAATAGAGTTTCACTATTCATTTTTGTCTTCAGGCAGGCAATGTAACGACTACAGAAATCCTTGCAGAGTTCATTAACCTTTTCTAGCTCCAGCAGATGGATACGCAGAACTTGGATTGCTTTTACCATCTGAGGGAGAGAATTGGAAAAAAAAATCAGAAACAAAATAACTGTTCGTTAAAAAAAAAATAAAATAAATTAATGTGATATTTAAACAAACACTACTTTCCAGTAACAAAGATCACCCAATTAAAGCAGAGGTACTAATTGCTAAATCCTGGAATGTGAAAGGAACACAAGTAAACTGCCACACAGGGAAGATGAAACAGAACAAAGTGATCTTTGTCACATGTGACAAAGTCAGGAAGACAGAGCAGTTCAGGTGTCACAGGGCACAGGATGAGCCTGGATGTCCATGTGGTGTTTCACCTCCTCGTACAACTCTGGGTCACAGACCACACAAGACTGGAAGTGATGGAAAGCAATCCCATCCACACAAATTCTTTGGAAAGCAGGGCTGGGACAGGCTTGGCCAGCAGCAGCTCTCTGGAGCCCAATAAATCACAAACACCAGGTTCAGCTCCACATTACACCCTGACACAAGGAAACCAGAAGGGTACAGATGAGTTTGAGATAGTGTGAGAAAGAAGACACTTCTGTGATTAAGCATAAATTTGTCCCACAGATTGCTAGGGAGGATGAAAGCTTTTATTTTTTCAATAAAATTAGAATAAAAAACTCCCAAATTTAGTCACACTGTTCAACAAAGCTTAAAGTAATCAAACAGTCCTTCAGTACTACAGCTTTTAAAGTTCCTCTGTGATTGTATGTCCAAGATTCAATTGAAGGAGACTGATTCTGAAATCAAAACATTAAATACAAAGCACCAAATGAAAAAAAAAAACCAAAATCAATGTTTAAGCTAAAATCCAAGTACAGGAGATACATATGTGAGAAGAATACTTGTCATGCTCACTGTGAGAAAAACACTGTAAGCCTGGATAACCAATGGTATTACATACTGCATAAATTATTTTTTATACAACATGCCATCCCCAATGTTTCTGTGCTGTGCTGGATCTCTGAGACAAATATCCTTAAGGTTCATGAAACTGAACTGAAAATTACACTGAGCTGTAATTTTGAAGCATAGTGCAGAGCTTGACTTTACAATTATTTGGAAAAATCTGTCCAATATGAGGGGTTATTTACCTGGGCAGAGCACTGAATCCAGTGAACAGAAATTATAACCTCCAAACTAATCTATCCTTTGATAGATTGAAGATGCCTTTGTTCAAGTCACCCAAAGGAGATCAAGGCAGGAAAACTTTTGGGTGTGCTCCCCTCTCCATCATGACATTTTAGCTTTCATTGAGAGATCTTTTCCCTGTTTTTTCAGGAAAAGGTTCTAGGACACTCACTCGGTGTAAACAACTGTGTGTTAAAATAAAAAAGATTTAAAAAATTTAAGAAATTAAGTGATTAAAAAAATTACTTATTCTTAAGGATAAAAAGAAAAAAAATCCAAACATACATCTTTCAAAAGACAGCTGCAGAAAAACCTAAGCTGTAGATTTGAGGGAGTTGATCCAAATTAATATCTGGTAACTCTTGGAATCTATGACACTGAAAGCCTTTGAAACACTAAGTGCACTGACCCAGCACTGAGACACAAACCAGTGATTTTCTAACCTAGCCCAAGTTGCTGTTTAAACTGTGCTCAAGCACCTTTAAACACAACAAAATTAAAGCATGCAAATGTATCTAAATTTTAACACAAAACAAAGGTCGTCTGTGTTTAAAGAAATTCTGTCTCTGTTTCAGAAACAAAAAAGCTTAAAATAGAAAATTCTTCATGTGTGACTGATCAACAAATTGCACATCATATCAGTGAGTGTGCTGAACATTCAGCTGAAACTGAGTGAAAAAAATATACTTTTGGACACATAGTATTTGACCATATTAGAGATTAGTTTATTTTTGCTCAGTCAAGGGAGTTGTTTTTTTTTAAACATTAGCTAAATTTGTACTATTTATTTATCAGCATGTGCTTGGAGGAAAAATGAAAGTCCTTTCCTCAGCTTAGACTTAGTTTAAAATTGATGGTTGATACTTGAGGTGAAAATTGAATTAAAGTCAAAATTAACCACAAACCCAGACTCAGTAACACTACCCAGGTTTCTGCAGAGCCCCTCTCCATCACACAATTCCTGCAGGAAGCTGTGCTGCTGTGGTTAGGAGGAAAACAAAGCTTTGTAAATATGTCATGCCTGTCACCAGGACTTATTAATTCATTTACAGCTACAATAATTGTGGCCATATGGCTCCTGCTCTCTTGCAGCACAGGTGGACCAAAGTTAATGTCAGCAGAAGTTCACTTTGTTCTTAAAACTACAAAAATCAAGAACTCCTGATGAAATAACTCAAGTTGGACAAAGGTAATACAAGGAAGCGTTTGCAGACAGGTCACAGCAGCAGTAATACTTCATTTATTCAGTGCTACTGTATAGAATATGCCACAGAACAATGAATTATTTTAATTGATTCAGTCTTTACAGCTGTAGCAATAAAGCTGGAGAAGTTTTATTCTTTTATTTCTCTTCAGAGAAGGGCAGAAAGATGAAGTAACCATGAGACTTGTATATATTCACAGAATCCTAGAAAGGTTTGGCTTGGAAGGGACCTTAAAAATCATCTTGTTCCAACCCTGCCATGGGCAGGGAGACCTTCCACTACTGCTGAAATTGTTTTAAGTAAAAATAATAGTAAACTATTAATCAGAGGAAGAAAATTTATTGAAAAAACTTCCAGTTCTTTCTATCCAGAGCCTTTTCATGTATAAACATGTCTCCAAATTTAAGAAATTGTATTTTTACATTCACAGCTCACCTGTCTCCCTGACCCCAATCCTCCCTCAATTTAGATTTTCAGTGGAAGAACACAAACACTGGAAGAAAAGCTATTTTGTTTTCATTTGTTTTGATTTGATAAGTTTTCTCCTCTATTTTGAGTCCCCAGCTATGAGACATAGCTAGAACAGGTGTAGCTAGAGGTTTATGGGGCAGTTCTGCAAATTAAAACAGAAAGCATTATTCAGAAAGGCTTGGTCAGACATCACCTGGTTTCACCACTACAACTCAGGCTCCTGACACAACTAAGAATTCAAGAGAATTGAGAAGAGGGTACTGAACCAAAAATCCTTACCCCAAATGAAACAAAAAACTCGGGGGGTCTTCAAAAAAGGCAGTGTCCTGTTCAAATACAAAAGGGAGAGTATATTTAACACTCCTTGTTTCGTATTGTGTCTAGACTTGATAAAGCCATGAGTAATCTGACTTCACAGCTGACCCTACTCTGTGCAGGAGGTTGGACTACAAACCTCTTGAGCTTGTAGTCCAGCCCAAACCATCCTATGGTCCTGTGAATGCCAGGAAATTAAAAAATCCACCCATATGTGGGAAGAGTTTACTCTGAACAGAAGCAACTCGAGAGGCAGGAACCACCCTGAGGCAATGTGGTATTTCTGCAGTGCCTGGGTTAGCAGTGAGCAACAAAAAAGTGTTAAGCAACAAATGTCTTAAAACATAAAATAATCTGTGAAAGGTCTAAAAAAACTCTCTGGAAGCACCCATGCCAAACAACTTCTTAGACATGGAGGTGTCTGCTTGTGGATGTCCTAAGCACAAAAGGAGACTGATGGAGAACAAAGAGCAGTTGGTGCCTTGGTTCATCCCAGGATTTATCTGTAAAAATGAGGCAGGGATAGCAAAGGGTAAGGGTAAAAGGGTGTGGAGCTCCAACAGATGATACTCCAAGTTATGTGGATAAGCTGAGCACGCTTACAGAAAGCAGCAACAGAGACCACCAAAGTCTGGTTATTGACAGCAAACATGTCTTGTGACACTTGGTAAAAGGACTAAGGAGATGCAAATAACATTCCAAGAGGACAGGGAGGAAGTTAAAACTCTAGAAAAGCACACTTGCAGTCTGGTAAGAACATGAGCACAAACTTTAGCTTCCACTTCCTTCCCACAGGATTTGAAAACAGGAGATCTGCAGGACAAAACCACAGGGTGATGCCAGAGCAGGATGGCACCCAGACCTGGGAAAGACACTGCAGAAGTAAAAAAGACCTGGTAACAATTCTCCTGGATTGACTATGATCCTTTGCCCTGCGATTCAAGATCACCAGCTGATGTTGTTGGAGAGCTTAACTGGGAAGAACAGAATCCCCAGAACAGAATCCTTCCATCTAGATAGTAACAAGGGTTTGAAACCTGGTTTACAGGCAATTTATGAGTATCCTTAAAATTAAGTTTCAGGTGGATGCTACCCACATTTTCCAGTGCTGAAAACTGTTTTAATTCTAAAACAGGAAGCCACCAATTAATTTAGAATGGGAATTATAATACCAAAGTAACAAGATAATCTAGACCATAGCTTAGTAAGAGCTGCTCAAATTGGAACAAGCATCCACTGCTCTTAATGAACTTCCTTTCTGGTCAAACTGATCTAATGCCTGTGCCACCCAGATTAACATTCTGTGGTCCTCTGGATGAACTCCAAACTCCTCTTGTGGAGTATTCAAGGCAGTTCAAGTGAGTGCACAATGTGAAACGTTGCCAGGACTGTAAGTGACCCTACAATCACTATCTGTGACCCTTCATAATTTCTGTTACCTACCTAATTAGCCCACAGGCAGCATGGAGCATGGAATTGTATTCTGCTGCTTTGGAGCTGTCAGCTAAAGCTCTGTCACAGAAACTGCAGTCTGGCTGAGTTCTACATGCCACATCTCAAAGAGGTAAAAGGAAAAATAAATGATACAGCTGACCAATTTTCTTACTGTAAAAGGCCTGTGATTCTCAAATAGGACTTGAATTTGGCTCTTCAGTGTTGTGATGCTCAGCTCATCTCATTTTAGCTCTAGCTCCCAGCTGATACTACTGAGCAAACATTTACACCTCATTTGTTTGACTCTGTTTCACCCTTCTAGCCCAGTCTAATTATCAGTCTTAAAAGCTTCTGCTTTCAGATGAATGGTTGAATTAACATTGGAGTTAGAAAGGGAAGAACAGCATGAGCAGAAGATGGAACAAAGATGCACAGTAGTGTTTCTTGCTACTAAAGAGAGACTTTTTAATCTCTATAAAAATATATATATGTGACACGAGGCAGAAAAAACCTTCCTGTCTACAGCCTTCCCTGTGGCAAGCACCAACATTTCAAGCTGAAAAGAGACTGAAAGCCATGCCAGCCAGTTCAAGCTTGACAGGAACTTGTGCTCACTGCCCCATACCAAATAAAGAGCCTGTCAGAACGTCAGCTGTTCAGAACTCCCAGCCTCCAGGACAGGCAGGGGACAAGCTGCATTCAGGTTTCATTTGGTATCCAGTAACAGAAAGTCACAGCTAACAATACAACCACAGGACAGGAGTTCAATGCCAAGGATTTTTGATTTTGCCACGTGGTTCCAGTTTAAGCCACAACTGACCTCAGCAGCCATGGAATCCAAGACATAAACAAATAATTCCTCACCTACCTCAAGCAAAACCAGCCAGATTTGTGCAGCCCATCAGCAAAGGGGAACCCCACATAACCAAGAGACTTTGTCACCAGAACCACAAACTAAAACCACAAATAGGTCAACGACAGGAAAGACTATCTGAACACACCAGACCCAACTACAACCAAAGCAAGCTGGATCTGAGAGACTGCTGATGTATGACCAAAAGCACAGGGAACAGGCCAAGGCAATCAGGATCTTTGGGAAATCAGTCTTTGGAGGCTCACAGAAGCCACAGAATAGCTGAGGTTAGAAGGGACCTCTGGAGCTTTGTTTAATCCAGCCCCCCTACTCAAAAGCAAGGTCAGGTAGGGCAGTTTCCTTTCCAGCTGAGTCTGACCATCTCCAAGGATGGAGTCTCCACAACTCTCGGGGCAGCTCCTGTGTTTCAATTCATGCCCATTCCCTCCTGCCCTTTCACTGAAAACCACTGAGAAGAGTCAGTCTATATTTTCCCCCTGTTAGGACTTGGCATTTCCCTTTTCTGAATTCCATGAGAATCCCATTTTCCTGCTTCTCCAAAGTGATAAAAAAAAAGTACCACTGAATGGTGGCAGAGCCATATGTAGATCAGCCCCTCCTCCCAGTTCTGCAACACCTGCAAACCTGCTGAGGGTTCAGTCTGCCCCATCACCCCAGTCACTAATGGAGATGTTAAACAGTTCTGTTTTCACAATCAGTCCCTGGAGAACAGCACTTATGAGTAGATCTCAACTGGACTCTATGATGCTGGCCAGAATCCCTTGAGCCCAGGGGTTCACCCATTTTTCAGTCCACCTCATTGCTCATTTTTCTCATCCATGCCTTATCAGTTTGTCTATGAGAACACTGTAAGGGACATCAAAAGTGAAGAACCACTGCTCTTTCCTCATCCACTGAGCCACAGCTACTACATTTCAACTATTATATTTCAGATGTGCTTCTGAAAAGAAATTTGGATTAGAGAGATATGGGAAAACTGATTCCGTGTTGGATTCAGAGAGTTACAAATGGAGAAAATAACCTGAGGCTTAACAAGTCAGCAGACCTGCTTCATGCAGAACAGAATTATCATTTTTGAGTAAAATATTGAAGGCAGGTATATTCAAAACAGGCAAATCAGAGCTTCATCACAGGAATGACTTTCAGAAAGCCTAAAGGAGTCAGTGACATGAAAGAAAAAATTGTACATGTTAAAGACTTTCTAAGATCATCTTATAACAGCTTTTCTATCACATTAACTATGTGATATGGTGAACCACAATTTACATAAAATTGGAAAAAAATTACATCAATTATATATTTTTAATAAACATGTTAAACACCTGACATGCTAAAATTGATTTTCAGAGTCAATCTGGCTATGGAAATTATTTGTTTCTGTTTGTCTCCAACACACTCATGTCAGCTGAGAATAGGAAACAACTGTGAAGAGCCCAGAGTAAATTTACAGATTAAAGGGAAAAAGGGGTCAGAAGGAATTTTAAAAAATATTTTTAATCATTAACATAAAGAAGAACCTCTCACAGGCAGAAAAACGTGAGGAGAAACTGTAAGGACCAGAAATTTAGGAAAAAGCTGCAAATGTGATAATTGTTTCAGAAACAAACTCCTAGTACTTACCAAATTATCAGTTTCTGGATCTTCACAGAAAAAAGGTTTTCCTTCTTTCTCCTGCTTCCTTACAAAGTTTTCAATATCTACATCAAAACTGGCAGAAGTTGTGCCTTCTGAGCCTTGTGTAGATTGTTCACATTTTTCAAATAATAGTGCTAACAAGGGAAATAGTGGGTGTCTAGGAAAAAAAAAATTAAATACATGAATAAGTATTTTCACTTCCGTGAAAATTAACACATGTAGCTCAGAAAAGCTCACAAACACTTGTGAGTGTGACAAGTTCTGGAAGAGACTGCATGTAACAAATATGATAGAGCAAAATAAGATAAAAGTTTATTTTCATTTTGATTTATCACACTCCATAGGCAAATACATCAGTAAAATATGTATATATTTCATTAAAGAGAGCAATCACAAGCAAAAAAGCTCTGCCTGTTTAATTCACAATAATTGAGTGGCACTGAGACAGATTAATACAGTGCACTAGAAATGAGATTTAGGATTTACAAAGAGGATGAATGCAGATTTAAATGAAGCCTGAAAAAATTAATTTATTTTTCAATGTGGGCCCTACTTATACATCACAAAATAACTTTAAAAAAATGAGTATTCAGGCTGTGCTCAGAAGCCTCTTGTGAAATCATGCTCTGAGGAGGAGATTTGGTTAGCACAAGTCTGTAAATGAATGGATACATCTTTGTGCCTCAGGTTGAGGGGCTTTTGGTGTTTTGCTTGGCTTTTTCCTGTTTTGGTGGTTATTTTTTTGTTGTTTTGTTTTGGTTGTTTTTTTTTAACCTGAAAACCAGTAAAAATTCTGTCTTTTTAAAGTAGTTAAAGTAAAAGAACACTTCGCCCCATGAAAACTGAGCAAACTGCTTAGCATAGCACTTTTCACTGAAAAATCTCAAATTAGTGTGCTCACACATCAATATTTAATCCATTGTGAGCTAATTAATGGGGAATAAATTGTTATCCCTAAAGAAAAAGGAATAAAGATTGACCTAATTTCAAAAGAAGTAAAAACTCATATTAAAGATAAAAACTACAGTATGACAAAATAGTAGCCACAGTTTAAAGTCTAAGGTAGCTTTCTAAATTTGGCAGCCTTCCTTAGAATACCCTTTAAAATTGCTGAAACTGAAAAATCTCACAAGCTCAGGAGGTTTTCCTTGGCTGATGACTGACAGTGAAGCCTCTTTGGTCTTTTTCTTTCCCTATAAACTATGGAAACAGCCAAAAGATCACCTGATTTTTAATCTCCCTATTATTTATTTATTAAAAAACCCCAAATTCCCTACCCTGTCCTTCACCCTTCAAAAGACAGAACACGAGTCCATCACTACCTGTAAATGGCCTGCTTGTCTGCATCCATTGGAGTCTGAGATTCTACGGGGGCAGGACTCACCCCTTCGGCATCAGTTTCAGAGCAGTTGGGATCTTGTTCAGTTTTTAACTCTGTTACCACTTGCATCTGTAGGAAAAGAGAGTAAATCTGTAGCCCTGACGTAAAATAAGGCTGCTGTGTTCTAAGGAAAGAGCAGTGCAAAGGGCTCCTAAATTGCCAGAAGGTTGGTGTGACTTGGCAGTGACACAAGAAGTTGTAGCAGCAACAAAACCCCTCTTTTAATCCCTGACACTTTTTGATGGATAAAGGTCACTTCCAAGTTTTAGCATTTGGCTTTAAAATGGGAATGACAGATATTAGTAAACTGTTGAAGCATTCTGTCTCTGAAGTGGCTGTTTTTGGAATAGCCTACAGTATATTGCTCCAAAAAGTTCATGGGAATGTCTGCATAAAAATCCTTTAGGATGAAATCAATGTAAAGAAAAGTTTATCCTCAAGTTTTCTTTCTTATTTTTTACTGTGCATTGTGTAAGAGTACTGAAGAAAAGAATCTTTTAGGTTTTTTGTCCATTAAAATGCGTATTTGCTTAAAAAGATCTGAAATATTCTGTCCCTCCAGTCCTTCTATTATAGGAGCATAACCTCCCATGACCTTTAGCACTCCATTTTACATATTGTAACAACCAAGTATTTTAGGGCTATCAAACTACAGGAGAACAGCAGTAACTCCTTCTGCACATGCATTTAACACACATTTATACCATGGAAAAGCATCACAGAGCCACAGCTTCACCTGAGCACCTCCTAAATTGCATTAGGAGGCTGGGCACAACTTTGGGGTGCTTTGAAGATGCTCCAAGTGTTTTTTCCATCACCTCCAGCTAAGTATCTTTTGGACTAAAAGGTCTTCCAGGAACCTGAACTGTGAAAGTCAGTTTTCACCCCTCAGCCCAAAGTCTCTGGTGTTCTCCCATTTGAGCATCTGCACAAAGACATGAAACCACTGCAAAATTTTATCTCCTCCCTCCCTTTTATCTCAGGTAGAGGACAGACACTGTTCTAGGTATCTCCAGGCAGCCAGAACTGACAGCTGCAGAGATGAAGGCCTCCAGAAACTACTAGAGAACCTGACCTTAACATAATTTAATTTTTTTCCACATAACAGCAGCAGAAAAATTTATAGTATTCTTAACAGTCTGGGAGAACCAAAAATTTTGTGCTTTATTACCTACTGGGGCCAAACCATCTCCTAGAAAAATCAGAAAATGGAGAAAATTCAGCATCTCCCACCCAACAGAGCAGCCTGCCTTGCAGAGAGCTCCCTTAGCAAGCAGAGATGATTTTCAAGTCAGAATGTTTAAAAAAAAAAAAAATAACTAATGGACTCATTTCTTAGCTAATGAAAGGAAAAAGAAGCGAATTAAAAGGGGATGACTCAGACAAGTGATTATAAATGCTGGCCATACATCTGCAGAGTTGGAAGGGAGGGAGTGTGTTCAGTTAGGGTTCTATCTCCCTAGGAGGAGGAAACAGCTCACTTAAACTGCAAGGTTTTTTTCTGTGGGCCATATCCAAACTGGGAAAACAGCAGACACCAGAATTACCTGCCTACCTTGGACTCTGAGAGCTTGAAATATACAACATATAGGAAGAAAAAGCTCTCTCCCAATCTGTTATTTTAAAAAAACGTATTTTATTTTCACTGCCACAGGATGGTATGTATTTGCAGGAGAATAAAGTCAAATATGTAAGTAGGTGAGAGAAGAAAGAGAAATTAGAATTTCAATAAAAGAAGCAAACTGTAAAACTAAAAATTAAAAATATGACTGCGTTCAGATGAACATTTTACAAGAGATGTGAAAGTTGCTGTTTTTATCTGACTGTTCCCCATTGTTGCCATCTGCTGACTGAAGTACTGGTATTTATTGCTTAGGGCTGACACAGAGTAACAGAAAAATGGATCTTCAGAGTGAAGCCCACCTCATGACTTGCCTCCAGTTAACAGCATTTTAATTTAGCAATTGAAAGTGTGAAACTATACAGCCTGTTCAAAAAAAACCCATCATGACCAGATATACATGGCTATGCTTCATTATTCCAGCTTAAACAATGCCAAAGCAGGCACTAGGGACAAAGTCACTATTTTTTCCCCTCTTCTTAAGTGTATTTAGTGCCTAGAGAAAGGAAAACACACCTACCTGTTGTCCATCTTGATAGTTGTCTATACTTAATGTCTGTGTTGCCATCATGGTTATTAAGACATTAATTGTGTCAAATCATCATAAGTGTGAACAAATATTCTTCAAAGAAAAAAAAAAAAAAAAAAAGCCAGTTAAAAAAGTGGCCACTTAGAATCCAGTTCTAATGGCTGAAGAAAAAATAAAGGTAAAAATTCAAATTCATGCATACCTCTCAGAGTTTATTGACAACAATGGCCACATGCAAATTCAAACAATAAATAAATTCAGTTTGGAATTATAACACGTTTTATCAGCAAAAAGTTCATTCTCTCTTTTTATATTTTAAAGTAAAATTTTAAGTAAGAGGCTGGGGGTTTTTTTTATACTCATATGCTTTAAGTGAACTTTAGCATTCTCTTCTTCACTACTTAAATGACATTCTAAGGTAATACATGAAATCTAGAAAGGGGAGGTTTGCATTTCTGTGTTTGGAAACGGCTCCCAACCCACTGGGCATCACTGTAACTGAAATAATAACAGTTAAAAATGATGAACCAAATGCAAAATGTTAGGTAGTTTTCACTTTTTGGGTGTGAATCCCAGATTCTAAAGCAGGGCCTGGAACTACTTTCAGAGACCAAACCTCAAATAACTTCTGACATCAGGGATTTGCCATCCAAGTCATTTAAGGTTCAACAAAGGAGGGAACAATATCTAACAATTTTTAAACAATTGGGCCCACATGATTATAAAGTTTCAAAGGGGACTTAGGAATTCAGAAGTCTCAATTTCAGCGACATTTGATACTTCAGGAAATATTAATTGCAATAGGATTAAAACACAAGTAAATGCATCAGGTTATTCTCTCTAGGCTGGAGTTTGGTGCCCAGATGAGTTAAACATTTTTAAGTTAAGACACACAGTAATTGAAAAAAAATAAATTAGCAAAGTACCACCATCAGATAGAGTGCACCCAACAAATTATTACTTCACATTTCATTTTCTTGTCAGATTTACAGCAATTACAAATGAAATCACGTAACTCATTAAGCTATTACCAGTAACTATTAATACAGAAGTCAATTTTCCTTGACACATAGAAGTCCTAATGTTTGGCTACCCTTAAGAAAATCCATATTAAAAAGAAGTCAGAGCTCATGTCTTGAAAAACATTACATCCAGGTAATAATTTCAGGTTTTCTGCTCTTTTTCACTTATGTCAGTATTGAAGAACTAAGTTTTAAAATTTTCACCAGTTTAAGATCTGAAACAGAATCTTTTTAAATCCTTCCCTTATTGCATACTTCTACTGCATATTACTATTTTAAAGAGCAACTTCTACATTTCTGGATATTTTCCCCTACAGATTATAACAGTCTCAAGTGAGTGTTTCATTTTGCAAACACAGGACAAGTTTCAAGGTTCCTTTCTTTGACAACAGTTTCAGGCACAGAGACAAACCAAACTCCTCAGAAGAAACCTCAAGCCTTACTTTGCATCAAATTCACTCAGTGTAATTCCTAAATATGAATGCAATTTTTAATTTTTTTTTTAACAGTTTCAAAGACCAGAGAAGTTCACCAAGATGATGTAAGCATGGCTTCCTATACAAACTAGATTATATCTATTTTTACATCAGTATTCTTTCTTTGAAACCCCAAAAACATTACTGATTTCTCCACCAAAATTAAAAATACAAAGGGAACAACCTAAGTGCACTCACTGATAGAAGTACTTCAGATATTTTATTTTTTTTTTACAGTTACAAATCATTTAGTGTTAAAAGTTAAATCAGCATTTGCCACAGTGAGATACCTCGTAAAATATTTTAAGGGAACACATTCTAAAGCATCAGCCCTGTAAACATTTGCCTGATGTTTAAACACATTTTCTTTCATAAATGGCAGCTGACAGCCAGTGCAAGTGCCTGTCTGTATTGAGAGAGTGAAGAGGCACATAGAAAATGCTGCTTTTCTTCTTCTCAAAAGATGTGCATTTAATTTATGACTGTGACATCCAAAGCATGGACCAGAGTATCCTCAAAATAAAAGCAGAACAGTTGCAACGATCAACAAAGAAAGAGCAAACACTATTTAATGATTAAAGCTAAGTCCCACAGAAAACACTGCAAAAAAAATTTTTTGACTGTGGGAGAAAGATGAAAGTCTTAGGCAAATAAAGAAAATAAAACAGTTGTAGAAGAGGAAGAAAAACTTAAGAGTTCACAGGGACATAAGATCATATTTGTGGCATGAAGAAAAACCTGGAGAGAGAGGCCACAAAGATAATACATGTAAACTGGTAAAGACAGTAGGACATGACAAGAATTTTTGGAGAACAAGACAAGCTGGACTAACCCCTCCTTCCAGATTTCCATAATGAAGAGACGTTCCACATCTAGAAGGCCCTCAGGCCACACAAAAGAAGAAAGGAGATGCACAGCTTTTAGCTAGATCCATAGATTATTTCATCTAGAAAGGCTTTTGCCATATTTTCTCCCAGGGGAATGACTGGAAAGAATTCTATGTGGGTATATCCTTTATTTCCCACAAGAGCTTCCCCTCTGACTTACAATTACAGTAGAAAAAGATTAAGCTATTAAGCAAGATAAGAACTGATGAGATTTAGTGAAGACAGCCACTGCAAATCAAGAAGAACAAATTGAGCTAATCACACACTTAAATTGAGGCAATTAACTAAGGAATTAGTTCTGTTCACTAAAAAGAAACATTTCCTCATTACTCAGTAGAGGCAAGAAACAAACTATGTTAAACTTTAAGAAAAGTAACTGAGAAGGTATTTACAGATTTGGCTTTTATAACCTCATTTGGGATGCAGCAGCCAGGCTCGTTAGCAGGCACAGCCTCAGCAGATGCTCAGGCTGCAGACAGCGATGGGGCTGCTATCGCTCCCAGATGTTTATCACCGCCACAGCTAATTACTTCCACAGTTCCTCCACACATGGATGGTTTCTGATCCTTTTTACATCGAGTCAGCCAGGCTGCTTCGGGCCTCTCCCTGCTAAAGGTGGCTATGATGGAAAGCAGCTGACATGGTCTGAAGCAGTTGCGGTGCACTCGAACAACCCCTGCTCTTGGCTGACCTACTCCTGTGGTAGTTTCTGGCTCATGTGTGTCGATTCTCAGCTCACAGCAGGACCATCTCCTACCAGCACTCTACCTCAGGACACACAGGATTTGGGTACCTGAGGTGAGCCCAAGAACATGTGACTTCTGCACATCTTAGCTTTCAAAATGCCAATTATTCTCTGTGAAAGAAATCGAGAGTAGAGAGAAAACTCTGTGTTTGTGTTATATTCAAAGACTTACAAATAACAAAAATAACCTGAGGGTGAGTCTGCCAGTCTGCTTCACACAGAACAGAACTAACTCTCATTCTATTTATTTTGAAAGCAAAGCGTGTGGAAAACCCAAGGAAAAACTTAAGGTCATGGAACTGGAAGCTGATGCCTGATCTGCAATCAGAAACTCCACTGATACCTGTGGTGAAAGAGAATTCATAAAAGATCATGGTCTTCAAAGCAAAGGAGAAAAAAACCAGGGAAGCCTTTTATAAAATGAGGTATGAAGGGAAAATGTAATGCAGAAAAGAAGCTAAGTGAAGAGGCATAATCATAATTAGAAATGTGGAGACTTTATGCAAGTTGAGTATATAAGAGATTAAATGTGAGCTGAAACATACATGCAAAGTGATCACTTAACATTCATCACTCCACTCCTCTCTTGTTCCACTTACTCCTTTATAATTAAGGGCACAGGGACCACCCAGTAACGTTAACAGAAGGAGCAAGTGAGCTGCTGGAGATCAGTGGTATCGTTTTTAACATATACAAGCTACAACAGATGTTTGTAAGAGATATAAATAGTTATGCTTCAGGCTAAGACATAACCACCAACCTTCTTAGGGTTGTGAAGGAACTCCCCAACAGACTTATTAACAAGTAATCATTCCTTCTAATTTTCCCTCACACACATTTCTTTGAAGTCCTTCAGAGAGAAATGCACGACTGGCAGATTCGGCATGGCTCTTTGTTCATTCTTATTTAACTTTAGTCCTGGCACCTCCTATGTAACATTAGATCCTTACATTCACACACCAAGTTAAAAAGAAACAAGAATCAATTCACTTGGACACATGAAAAGCATCTAGAACTGGCTTCCTTTTCAACACAATTCAAGATGACATTTATTTCCAGGGCACGGTGTTTTCTAAAGAAGATAAAATATTGGCCATGAGAAAGCTGCTCACCCCTTTCCTTCAATGAGTTGAAGACATTATCTTGTTCCAGCACAGAGATCCCACTGATGTACAATGTGGAAGACAGAAACCTGAAAACTAACAGAGAAACAGTCAGAAAAACCAACACCACAGAACCTATATTCTAAGACCCAATATATTTTTTTTTTTTTTAAAAATGTTTTATTATGTGGTTCCCTCATCGAGTTTTAATGAACAGACAGAAATTCTTTTGCATGTTTTGCAAATTTTTACATTGTTAATAATTTCTAATCACGCCCATTATCCCACGCTTGAACTTCTTATCCCATTATTTGATCTTCCTCTCATCTTACTCCATTCATTCTCTACATTCACCTTTGTCTCTGCTGACACCTCTAACAGAAGACTCCATTTGGATAATAACTCCCTCACTGTTCAACCTTCATATTTTACCTGTTGACTCAGTGTCTGTCTGCCAAGACTAGACAAGACACATCCTAAAAATAAAACCATGAAATGCAAATAGGAATAACCCACCACTGTTGTGAAAATTAAGCATGAAATCAAGAAAGGTGAGAGATTGTTTTTTCCCCATTTAAATCTCCTTCATAATCATTTGTAAACAATCCATGGTAAAATCAAAGCATGATGGGCCATTGTTAGGATCATGTGTTCTGTGAAGACAGGTTCTGCTACAAGATTATTCAGCAATCTTAAAAAGCTTTCCAAAAATTACCACTTAAAATCACTTTAATTACATTTAATAACACCCATTTGATACACTGAAGCTACTTTTAAAAAGTAGTAAGGATTGTGAAAGCAAAGCAGTAAAGATTGTGAAAACATACTTAAAAAACACAACTGCTGAAAAGCATTAAAAAACCATCTCAGGGGAAGTTCCAGACACTAAGGTTGCACAGAGGCCACCAGAAATTAAATGATGGCTAAAACACAGCTGAGATCTTGAATCTGATTATCTCTGTTTCTCACACAAAGTTCACAATAAGAACTAGAGAGAAAGTAAAGCCAATGTATTTGAAAGCAAGACAAAATTGGTCTTTGGTCTTTAAATTTATTAAAATTTAGGCACTTGATGTTTTCCAAGAAGTGATGCTTTTTCAGACAAGTTCACAGAAAAACAAAATGTGAAGGGCCACTCAATATAGATGCCACCTCTTGTTCATGAAACCTGGTTCTAAACAGAGCAGGGAAGGTATCTGAGGAGTTTTAAGAAAGTTTAAATTTCAGCCACTGGTTAGAGAATGAACATTGAGCAAGAAGGAGTTTCAGTCCAAAGTGATACACCTGGTCTTGAAGGTTCAAGGAGCAGATGGCACATTAAAAGTTCTTATCACTTTTCCTTAAACTGTCAAAGATCTATGTCTTCAGAAAATGAGATTCTCTCAGTTTTGCAGTTTCTTAATTCTGTTCTGAGGACAATGTAACCCTCTTACTCCCTTCTTCACATGCCATGCATTTTGGTACTCATCCTCAATTCAATTTATTGGGTTACTTTCAAACAAAAGACTTCTCACTATTCATGGCATCTTCAGAACAGAGGTGACTGACAGATAAATCAGCACAGATAAATAGATAAATTATCCATTCCTTGTCTCTGGTCAGACCCAAGGAGGACTACTGCAAATCTGAAAATCCTTCTCCTCCATCCAGAAATGACTGCAGCCAAGAACTCATGGGGTCACTGCTGCCAGATCTGGTCAGTCCAATATTCCACATATGAAGAAGTAGCCCCTGCCTGCAAAGCCTTCAGCTGAAACTCTGGAAACAGCCAATTTCTACACAGCTTATGAGATATTGAGGGCAGGAACAAAGAGGTGCTAAGGAAATACAGGCCTGGGTGAAAGATGCTGCAGAGGGAAGGATGTGGCTGAGGAGGAGCCAGAGGATATTGCAGTGATATTGCCCTTTTCAAAGAGACACTGAACATTTCATACTGCTGTCTACCCTAAAACATATTGGACAAGAGAGATCTGAGCTTGCAGATGATTCTTCTTCCACATTTCAGTGGGGGCAAGAGGAGGGAGCAGATACACCTGTTACAGGGTGGAGACAACACCAAGGCGCTGTGGACTTGCTATTGCAAATTTTTGTTCTCCTTTTATTCAGCTGGCAGACAAGCTTTAAAGTAATGCCATCATAATAAAAACACCTAACTCCGAAACCAAAACAAAGGGCAACTTGCTTTGTTTCTCAGAAAGTGAATCACCTCTGAGGTTTTAAGTACAAAGTGAAATAGGAACTTGTTCGTTCAAGCGTTGAAGAATCCTCATTTGAGTCATCCTCTCATTCAGTATTTCCGATCACAGGAGGCAAAGACCTGTGTGTACATTCACGTCTACAAATATGAGCAGACATTAAGATCCATGTTTTTATAGATTCAAATAATGATAGTAATAATTGATTCAAATAATGAAGCAGTAAGTAGAGCACACCTGCCAACATGCAGGATTCATTCCACCTTTGCTGCAGTCCTCCATCTCCACTGACCCCCCCCCACGCAGAGTCATTCACAGAAATTAAGACAAACAGATCAATATGAAGTTGAAGCAGACAAGTTTATTAAAACTATGCTCAATGAGAATGTTCTCATCATTCAGCACCAAGGTGGCTTCCATTTCCTCTGTCTCATGTACTTAGAAAGTACAGTCATTATTCAGAATATTATACTTTTAAGAAAGACAATGTTCCTGTTCAGGAACAGAATACCAGCCTCAGGAAGTTCCATCACACAGATACAGCCACTCAGTTACTCTACAACAGCTATGCTGTCAATTGCCCTGGGAGGCAAGCCCTAAAAAGCCACAAACCCAATTTCTGGCAGCAGTAAAATGAGATTTATTTTGTGTCACTTTGTTCCCTTTATTGTTTAGTGGTGCAGTAGAGTTATTTATATGTTAATCTTGATGAATATGAGATTACATTAAAAAAAGAATGCAAATTATACTTTAAGAAACCGAAAATTAAAAATAAATTAAAATCCATAACTAAAGTTGAATTTCTGCAGAAATACAGGCTACACTCCAAACTACCATGAATGTTTATCTACATGTAGGATTTTGAATATCCATGCTATGTAACAGTGACTTTATTCACCAAGACCTCTCCAACAGTTTATCTGCTGTTTTGTTGTCCCATTAATCTTTCATAGCATCCTCTTTTCATATCCCTCCATCTCAGATCTTAACAATCCATACAAAGGATCCATACCACAGGCCACCTCCCAAGTACCACCACACACTGTCACACAGCTTGACCAACAACAAACCACCTCATTAAAACATTTGTGTTCCTTCAGCAACTCACTCTTTGGTACATTTAATTGTATAAATTCTCCTATTTGCAAATACCAAATTAAAATATATATATATATATATCTAAAATGAGCCCCTTTATAAGCTTAAATTGTATATGCAGTTAACTGATAAAATGAATATCAAGGATGCATAGATCATAGGAATTCCTCCAGGAACAATGACAGAAATAAAACTGAGGCAACCTGGGTCTTGTGAAGAACTCCAGCTCCTAATTCTGCACACGTCCTTGTTGTGTACACCAGCATATTTCTATGGGACACATTCCTGATTCCATGTCATCACCAATTTACCACAGTCCTTCTTAACAAGGATGAGAAAGATGAGGAATTCTACCCAATCCAGTCATTAAATGATGCATGCCAGGTATCCTGCCCCCAGGCAGCTCTTGGAATTCTGGAAGGAAATCCTCAGGTTGCTCTCCTACCTTCTGCAATATAGAATCCTCATTCTTCTAAAACTTGGGGGAAAGGAAACCTCCCTCTTTAATTGTTCCAAGACTCTTGAGGGATCAGGGTATGAAGGAGCAAAAATATTTCCCATCACTCCATCATCCACCGCCAATATTCACACAAAAAATGAAGATTCCTTTTTTCTGTATTCTTAATACTGCAAACAGAAGGACTTTATGGGTCCAGCATGAGAATCCTCACACACACATCATGAATCCTCACACATATTTATTGTTAAAGGACAGAGAAGGATTTTTTGCTCTCAGTTTTTACCCAATGTGCTTTCATAAAATGTTGGACCCAAAAATCAGGAAGATGGTGCCACATCTGCCTTGCTGCTCTCGTGGCAAGAGGGTGGCATTGGAAAGACTACAACTTTCATCCCAGAGAACGTGTATCAGCACTTCCACAGCTGGAACTGATCCTGCACAACTCCTGCTTACTGATATTTAATTACTTTTTCAAACCAAATTTCATTAAAATAAAATAATAGAAAAAAATACCAATAGACAGAAAAAAAGGTGAGAACTCCACCACTCTCCCCCTTCCCCTGGCACTCCCCACATGGATAAAGAGAGTTGCTTATGTCCCAGACATAAATCCATCCCTCTGCCACTGAAACCTTTGGAATATCCACACAAGCACGTCCCGCATTTCTTACTTTTGGAGACACTCATGGAACCATCTCCTTCCAGGCAAATTAAACCAAAGCAACAGGAAATCCTATTTTAATCATGATTTGCATCAGCACCCAATAAACTATGACTGAAATTAATCTTGTTTTGTGTTTATACTTTGTGGTTTCATAAAGAAGACAGAATAACCACCGGTCTCTCTGCCTTTATTGCTATTGAATACTTTACAATGTGAGCAGTTTGTGTAAGCATATGTTATGTTTTCCAACATTTTTATTATAAAACCATAAAAGTTTCCCATTATTCTATGAAGGCATGAATTCCTGATGGTATTGAAGTACAGATGAAGGGTGAAGGAGTTTTATTTAAATAATAAATGCATTTATATTGGACTTCGATGTTCAACGGGTAAGAAAACGCCCTCCACACATTTTTGGCATTTAAACAATTCATCAAGATCAAAATGTTCCCTTATCAATTATTTAATTTTTATATCTTTTATGATTTCTGGAATAACAACCCCATTAATGAATCAAGCATTAACTTGGACCAGCCAAAAAATCCCAAAAGAGACACAAAATCCTGGTCCTGCAACCCTCTGTGAAATCCAACTCCAATCCACCACTTTTCCACAATCTTCCCTGTTTTGACTCTTAACATTTGGTCAAAACTGAACAGCTAACTTTATTTTGCTACTAAGTTTAGGTCTTTAAGTGAACTGTTATTTTCTTTTTAAAACAAGGATTAAATAAAAACTCTTCCTTTCCTCCTCCACTCTTGTTTCCCACCTGTCCTAAACAAAAGTCTCCATCCTTCTAAGAGTTATGACTGCTGCCTAAGCATTCTGGGGTAAAAAAAAGACTAATTAGGATTAAACTTACCCATCACCTACTACTGCTGTGTGCTGCATCATGCTGAACTATTTGGTCCAGGTGATGACTGCACAGGCAGATGACATCCAAGGACTAACAGACAGGAAGACACTCATGTTATATGGAATATTCAGGTAATTTAGATAATAAGTATTTGCCCAGCACCATATAAACCAGATTTTCCAAGAGGTTATGGTCTGTTGAAATTCCTCAAGGAACAGCCATATGCTTCATGTGGATGCTTATTCTCCTTTCCCCTCCACAACACTAAAATCCACAACTCAACTGCTGATAAGCTCTTAAGTAAGAAGAATCCCACATTTCTTAAAAATTAACACATTTACTTTCTCTTGGAGTCATTCTCAAGATGCTGAGTCATTTTAAAGTTGGCAGAATAACCCTGCTCAAACGTATTCATCGTGACAGTTATCAGTAGGGCTACACTACTGAAATCAACACCTCAAAATAGTAATAATAATACAAAAGATAACCAGGTCCTTTTGGTATTGCTGCTATCATAGTCCAGACCACATAAAAATGGGCTAGAAAACATAAATTAAGTGATCACAGGCTGACCCAGAGTTCTTTAGTTACAAAAACATACAACACAGCACACGTTTTCATTCCCCTGTTCTCTAGGCATGTTAAACACGTGTAAAGATCCAGTTTCTGTTCTCTAATTGCCTCTGTTTCCCTGGAATATAAAAGGCTTGGACTTTATTTTTCAGCAAGTATGATATCCTTTTCCCTTTGCTTTGTTTGCTGTGTAACTCATAAAAAGCCAAGCAGGATGTGAAGTATAGCCACACTTCCTAGCTTCTTCTATCCTCAAGAAAAAACACAAGCAATCCCAAAACCTCACCAATAAAATAAAAATTGGAATTTGGAGGTTTAAAAGAAATGGATCCTTCTTTCAGTATACCACAAGTGAGCTGCCATATTCTACTTTTTTGCCTGAATTTTCCATCAGCTGCAGAAGAGAAAGCTGCAGATCCCTGGGCACAGCAGGGTAAGGGACAGTCTGTGATCATCACACTCCGCTCCCATTTTCAAAAACCACCTTTTGACTCCGTGGACTTAAACAGCCCTGAGGTTTAACAGCAAATACCTCTTCTGTACACCTAGGTACTAAAAAATGAGAACACCACGGCCTGGAGCAGCTGCCACATCAAACCCCAAACAATGTGTTCGTGTGAAGAATGAGAACCAACCATGCAAGAACAAGATCTAAGTTTTATTTCCCTTTCTAGCAGCAACTTTTGCCTCTCAGTGCCATACATGACGTGGCATCTCCTCACTGCTGGCAGGGGAACCAAGTTACTGCCCCTCACCAACTTCATCAAAACCTGCCACAGCTCCATAACAACAAAATTGGCATTTCCAGATCCGTGGTGCCATTATTTCATTTTCTACCCCACCCTCAGTTCTACCTGACAAATCGCCTGTTCTACACTTCTGGCACAAAACCACCTCAGTGAACAAAGTGAGGAACCTGCTACAAGTGTGAATATTGCAGTGTTCAATTCCCCTGGGGAGATCTAAAACCGTCTGGGTAAATGATTTTGGCAACATCTGGCATCAAGTAAGCAAATGAAAGGACTCCATCAGCAGCTTTTTCTCCTTGCTCTTGGAATCCTCATGCTTAGAAGAGCAGTAAGTTGTTTTACATTTTGTACAGCACTGAGCTGTGGCAAAATAAACCCCTCTGAGACTTCTCATTTTTAAACCTACAGACTCTTTGAACAAGTGAGAAGTGAGGTAACCAGCTGCTGCTGCTGCAAGAGAAGTAACATTTGCAACATTTTTAATTTCACACAAAAAAATTGCATTTGGTCTTACTTAGACCAAAATAAAAATATTAATCTGCTTTACTGTAAGCTTTCACATATGTGCCAGTTTTGCAGAGGCAACATTTGGCTCC